CCCACCCACACCCTCACCCACACCCACACCTCACACACCCACACCCATCCAGGAATGACAGCACCTTATATTTAAAACTTATTCTGTAGACGGGTAATGATCATCATCTACGAGGTAGAGACACATCGTGATGAATTTGAAAGGAACTATTTAAAATATACCTGCGACGGAAGTCATATCAGTCGCCATTGTATCAATATTATGCATGATTTTGTTAGATTTGTGACCAAGCATATTATTTTTCTTTGTTCATTTACACTAAGATTGACGAGTCACTTTTTGTTTCATTAGGCTTATGTAGGATTCGTCTGTATTTAATCAGCTCACATTACGTAGTAATGGTGTCACATAGATAAATTTTCCTCGCATTGTGGACGACTGACACAAAAATATTTATTCAACAAATATTAAGATAAGGAAATTGATCCGAAGCAACTACTGAGATGCTAGGAAAATAAGAAAATAATAACGACGACATTAGGTTCGAGACAATCCAATACTAATATTTGTCATTATTTATAAATAGTGTCATTAAGAAACATGATACGTTTTGGCAAACAAAGTAATCAAGTTTGGCTGGATTACTTCATGTTATTAATCACTGGTATAAATATCCACGAAAAATGTCTTTCTTTTATTGCAACAATGCTTCGAATTTTCATTGTTCTTCTGCTATTCCTCTCTGTCGATCTATCTCCTCTACGTGAGGAACGGCGTCAAATTATTGAACGTGTGAGAAATTATCTTCGACAATCTGATGCTACTACTCGATCCTTGGAGGAACTTAATTGGTTGGAAAATAGTAATAAAATTGGTTTTGGTTATAATATACTCGCTGCGTCTCCCGTATGTTACATGGGTGCATGTCAAACGGACGAATTTACTCGTTCGATATTCAAACTTAACTATTCGTCATCAGTTCCAGGCTCATGCACTGATAAGTTGGTGCCAAACAACGTTGACTTAGACTGCACACCATCTGGTAAACAAGCAGTTATTAGTGAAATAATTGAGACAGTTGAACAGCTATACACATCTGTTTCCAACAAAGTTGACGTTTCCATGGGGGTGAAATTCAAAGGTGTCAGCTTCTCGTATACATATTCAAAGGAAACCCAACATATGCTTGACAATATAGTCAAGAAAAATCAAACCTCTATAGTAAGTTTGTGATAGGTTCTGTATCTTGAGCTATTGTAGCGTAAAATTATTTAGTTTACTTCAGTTGAAATCTCATATGTAAAACTATCAATGTTTGAACCCAAAATGGAACTATCAGATAATTTTCGATACGTTATTGACAACATGTTTTGCTGTGAAGAAGATGATCCGGATATAGAACAATACGTTAAAGACTTCATTTTCGACTACTTTGGAGTTGCTTACATTACAAGTATACTGCTTGGCGGCGTAGCTCAACAAAATATCTTCATTGACCGAGAAACAAAAGAAAGACTAGAACAAAACGGTATACAAATAAAAAATCAAGCAGAATTGGCCTTTGACTTATCAAAGGGTTCTATTGGAATTAGCACCAGTGTGACCACGTCGAAAAATGAATCCAACTACAATATGTTCATGAAAGAAGTGAAATCATTGCAGAGATCTACGTTTGGTGGTGCTCCTGATTTAAGCAGTTTTGCCGAATGGTCCAAATCAGTTCCAAGCAACCCTATTATAATCAAGCGACAAATTCAAGATATTTTTCGTCTTTTTACGAAACGCTACTTTCCAAATGATTCTTTGATAGCAAATAAATCAAAATTAATACAAAAAATATTTGAGAAATATATTAATGATTCTGTCTACTGTTATGGCAATTGTGGTGGTAATGGTACTCGTGGAATTTGTGAACCAACGGGATTTTTCCAATTTGGAATTTGCAAATGTAATCCAGGATGGACTGGTAATGACTGTCAAACAGCCGTCGTAGAGCCTTACAAGATATTGCATGGCACTATATGTGGATTCGATCGTTCATTTATGCAAATTAACTGCGAGGGTCTACGTCCATGGAACGAATGCCCTCCCGGATGGGCTCAGAAAAGCTGGCCCACTGATTTAACTGTTTGTTATAAAACTGGAACAGCGATCGGCACTCCTGTCCACGGAACAATTTGTGGACTTCACTCCTATCAGTTAGAATATAACTTTAACCTTAATATAGGTTGTCAAAGTAGCTCGAATGTGTACACGGACGGATGCCCGACAAATTATCAACAATTTCGTGGAACAAGCGAAATCTACACTATCCACCATTCTAACCCAGCCTACTCCATCGTGAATGCAGTGTGTGCAGCTACGAATGTGGAAAGGGACTTGCCTGGGACGCTTTGTGGAATGCAAACTGAAGGGTCAGTCGATGGCCCCTCCTGTGATGGCTTTGATCCAGGTTTACGACGGTGTCCACCAAACTATATTCCCCAGCGCACAGCTTTCGACGGTTTTGGATTTATGGTTTGCGTAAAACAATGAGATGATCTATTTTTCATTGGAATGCTAACTAATACAGTAATAACCTTGAAAATCTGTGTTGCTTTATATCATGTTGATAAAATGAGTCTCTCTAATGCTCTAAGAAAGGACTTTAGAAACTAAAATAATATGGCACAATCAAATGCATATGAGAATCGAGGATGAAGGAAAAATAACTTCTATTAGTTTTCTGTTTAGAGCACGTTTCATCAAAAGATAACGATTGCCAGGATGCCAATCAACTGGTAAATAAACTATAAAATGCTACATGAATTGCAACCAATCATTTAACTCTTTGAGTACGGGAGACGCAAATTCGCATCCTGGTATGAGTGTGTGCGTGTGAGTGGATATGGGTGTGGGTGTTGATGAAGAGAAAATAGACACCCAAATTCACACCCCACGCACATTCACATCCACGCCCACAATGGATGATATTGAATAGAACTAAAAAAAATCGAGTTCTGTTCAATGTCATCTATTGTTGTTTAACAGTTGATCGGCATCTTTGTAAATAACGATCGATGTCAACCAAATAGAAACTCGAGACAACGAATACACCACCAGTGTAGAGAAGAAAACTTAATTTACAAGTAGCAGATGGCATACCTCGAATATCATAAGCCGTTGCAGAAGTAAAAGATTGTGGAATAATAAGACAGATAATTGCTAATTGCTCATTTAAGAAGGCTTCAGCCAGAAATAGTGAACTTGGAAGCATGTGATATTTTTTTTTAGATCAATGAAAATTATAATATTTAGTACGTTACCAATCGAATCGATGATGCCAGTCAAGAGATCCACGTAGATATAGAGATATTGAGAAATAATGAAGAGTTGTTCAGGTAACATAGCAACTGCATCAGATTATTTGCTATTTTCTTTCTCGAAAGATTGAAATATTATTCATTCGATGTCAACTAGGCGTATTATCAGGAGGGAAAAAAAATCTTTTTTGACATTTTTGAGAAAGAAAGGAAACAATATATGAGATGTGTCTCGTTGGTATTGCAGAATAAATATTGTTTGACATTGTTCCACACTATCATAATTTATGGTGATCATGCTCATAAAAAGTTAAGATTAAAAGCTGTTTTTTTTTTATACATCACTGAGCATTAAAGTTTAATTTTCGCAGATGTGTACACTCAAGTCACCAGCAAGAATTGTCATAGTTTTTCGTTTTTTCTCTTTCTCTATTTCTCCCCTTTTCTTTTTTCCTTAGTCCACTTGCATGTATCCAAGCTAAGGACTCTTCGTGTATGATGTACATATGCTTTTAAAAAAGAATTTCAATTGACATATTTCTTTTGTGTAAGATAGCTTGTTCGAACAATAGAAACAATTTGAAAAGTACGCGCTCTAAATCAATAATTAAAATTAACAAAGAGATGAAGAAAAAGAAATTCTTCATGATACCAAATATTACGCCAAAATTAATATCCATACATGTATTTAGAAAGTCGAAGATAATATTTTTTATTTCAAACTGCTACAATCATACATTTTTGATTAGGGGTGCGGATGTGGGAACCGCTGTTCTTTTCTCCCACAGCTACATACCCACATACCCATCCTCATAGTATATTTGCATTTATTTCAGCATCATTTCCTGTTTGAACAGAACTTTTTTCTCGCCTTGTTATTGCTGTTATTGTTATTGACAATCGAAATTGCCAGACGATACCACAAAATATGTTCTTCTCAGCACTTGAGTGCGATGGTCTAAAGAAAAAAAAAGAAAAAAAAAATTTTGTTCTTGAGCCATATAACGACAGGAAGAAAAAAAACGAAGAAGAAAAAAACTAAAAGGTAAGTTCTCGTCGATCAGCAAGAGTAGACATTTCATCACATGTGACAGTGCAAATAAGCACATACAAGGACAAAAAAATAGTCTGGCACTCAAATACATTGCATTCAAAAGGTGTTATAATAGGTAAAGCAACATGTATGAATGTTGTATTAAATAATTTTTCTCTGCTTGTAAACAACATTACTCTTTTATATTTGTATAAGAAGAAACGTATGTCAAGAGTACATATTCAAAGATGATATAATTTGATTTTTTTTTCTTTCGGCTGAATGTAACATTATCAACCATAATTTAAAAAAAATTATATTATATCATTGAGTATGTATTTTTGACATAAGATTCTTCTTATACAAATGTAAAAGAGTAATGTTGCCTACGAGCAGAGAAAAATTAATTAGTACAACATTTATATACGTAGCATTACCTATTATAACACCATTGAATGCAATACATTTGACTATTACACTATTTTTTTGTCCTTGTACATGCATATTTGCATCTTCACGTGTTGTAGAATATCTACTCTTGATGATCGACAAGAACTTACCTTTTAAATTTTTCTTCTTCTTTTTTTTTTCTTCCTGTCGTTATACATCGCAAGAACAAAATTCTTTTTTATTCTTTTTTTTCGCTTTGGGCCATTACACTCAAGTATTGAGAAGAGCACATTTTGTGTTGGTACTCTTGGTGATGGTAATGTTAGTAATAATTTTGTTCAAGGTTAATTTAGGTTTGTGTAATGGTTACTCGCCAGTATCGTCTGGCAACTCCGATTGTCAATAATAATAAGAAGAATAACAAGGTGAGGAAACAGTTCTGTCGAACAGTAAATGATGTTGAAATAAAGACAAATACAGTACCTTTAATCGAAGCGGAAAAAACTAAGGAAATCTCTAATTTGTCTCCTTCTATGCCTCGTTGGTGGCTCGTTATACCTTGTTTATTGTTCATCACGTTGGCTTCCGCACCTGACGCTCTACTCATAAACGATTTTATCGTGCGTCGCTACGAACGTCACTATGGACTCGACGTTTTAGGACAAGGTCCACGAACTGCATGTCGTCTTCAGTCGTTGACTTCGACGCCTGGCTATTGGTACCTTCAACAGTATTCACTAGACGGGGCTGATTATGACATCGTACAGCAGGACGCCGCAAAATTTAATGTTAAAAATTCATTTGCTACACTCATTCCCTCATTATTTGCCATTGTTCTGCTAGGTTCGAACTGTGATACCATTGGTCGACGTCCATTACTTCTCTTACCATTCATCGGTAAAATAGCTCGATATGTGATCATGTTAATTATCATTGCTCGTGATCTTTCTGACGGATGGTTACTGGTTGGTCATGTGTGTGAAGCCTTGTTTGGCTCGATTGGCATCGTCATGTTGAGTGCTTTAGCTTTTATCACTGATTGTACGCGAGAATCAGAAAGGACTCGACCATTTTTAATAGCCGAAGTGGTCACTCTAGTGGCGCGCGTCGTTCCAGTCCTTGCCGTTGGTTTATGGTTGCAACGTTTTCTTTACACTGTCCCGACAAGTGTCTGCCTTGGATTGAGTGTCATTGGAATGCTCTACGTGCTGTTCATACAACCTGAATCCGTACAAAGTGTGTGAGTCTTTTTAGAGGCTATCTTTTATTTCAATTTTGTCCATATTTTCCGAATTCCTTTACATTTATCTGTCTCTTTTTGCTGAAATTCATCCGAAAGACTCAAAAATATAGTTCTGGTCAGAGAAAACGTTGAAGCCATCGCTTAATTTCTATTTCAATTTAATAGTTCTAGGAAAAAATCACTTCTGATTTGAATGAAAAACATCGATAGATCCTATGCAAGCTTTAAATAATATCAATTTAAAGAGAATTTACTTTTTTTTCGAATTACGATTGAGTAACACGAATATTTATTATCAAAAGAATTCAATAAAAAATCGTAGATAAGATTTTTTTTTTGTAGTAGTGTGACTTCGAATGTATTGTCACACTACTTGTATGAAAGATCTTACATAAATGTCTTCGACGAAAAGCTATGCTTGAACAAAAATAATATCTACAAAGCATATGTGCGCCTGTATGAGGAAATATCCTGAGAATGAAGGATATCATTGTCTTTGCAAATATTTCTGGTAGAGCATGTGAAGCATGAACTCCAAAGATGAAGAAGAATAGTATAATAAATTCAATATGTCATTGCATTGCCACTTTGATGTTGTAGAGCGGTGTAAAAAAAGCATGTCCTTACTGAATGAATCATATAGTCGTAGTAAGAAACTCTTATATTCAGTTTTACTTATTTGAAAATATCTTCTTTCATACTCCTAGATGTGAATTAGAAAATAAATAAATAGATCGTATACCAATATGAAAAATCATGCTTTTTCTAGTTCTGTATAATCTGTCACAAATCAACAAATACACATTGGAGTCGCACTTCTAAATAACTAGAGGGTGACAATAAAAAACACGCTTGAGTTTTACTCAAGAGGCACTTATTTTCATTTAGAGAGAACCTGAATATGAAAATGCCGAGAAGTAAATGAGTGACCTTGAGAAAATGTTTTTCAAAATCATTCAAGTGTCCTTTCGCTTTGTTGAAAACACTTCATTCGTTATATAAGGAGTTTTATTTTCCATAGCTCTGAATTTTGGCCAAACTGAAGAAAAATCGCTGATGCATCCATATGAAGAATCGTATTTGAATGTTCGAAGAGTCATCAAAGCTCACTACGAACTATGTAGTATACTTCATTCTTTATATGAAACTGAATTGAATTGATTGATCGTACTTCTAGACAAGATTGAAATTGTTTTGATGATGATTTGAAACATGGATAAATTAAATGAAACTTATCCATCTAAATCGTCTTTTGAAGAAAATTATTCCATTGTAATTCAGCTTTATACGATGGCGACTAACAATGTAGATTTTTGAGATCAATCTGGTTAAGAATGATGTTAAATGACTTTCATAAAGCAATATTCTAAAAAAATTTTCGATAGGATCCTGATGTCGAAATATTATTAAAACAAGTTTTCCAAATTCTTAGCCAATCATTTGAATAGATATTTCTTGTTCTTTGAAATTTCAGTCGAGAAAAAAAAAGCGGCGCTTTCATTTATCCTATTTCAAAAAATATTCAGATCTTTTCCATGTTTAGCCGCAATGATTCGATTATCCAGCAAATGGCACGTATTCGTCTGAAACCAATAATTCGTTGCATTCAGGTATTTCTTATCAAACGTCCTGGCTACAATCAACAACACCTACTTCTGATCAGCATTGTTAATATTCTTGTTTTGCTTATGCTATTTGGTTACATAGCCGTATTTGCCCTTTTCGCCTATGGACGCCCATTTTGTTTGGATGCACTCCGTGTTGGTTTGCTCGCAACAACTCATGCAATCAGCGCCTGTGTACTCACTCTGTTAATCAGTTTGTTCAAAACACAGTATCTGGAGAAAACCTATTTCTTACCCATTGTCGGTTTGCTTGCTCTTATCTGCGATCTTGTTCTTTTTGGATTGGCCAGATGGTCCTGGTTACTCTATATCGGTTTGTTTATTGAATAAATTTCATGTTTCGTTGACAAAATTAGATCTATTTCGTTTTAGCTGCATCTATTGGAAGTTTATTTTTTATTACAATGCCAGTACTAAGATCTAAATTGAGTAGACTAGTAGAACCTAACGAATATGCTATTGTTTTCATCGCTGCAGCCTTCATTGAAGCTGGTGGTGACAAAGCGATCGATGCCGCATCGAATTCCATCTACAATGCATCGCTTCGCTTCTGGCCTGGACTGGTCTTTTTTGTGCTCGCACTTCTAGGTATCTTTCCTTTGCTTATTATGAGGTGAGTGGATGTGTTAAGCTATCATAAATCTTTCTCTGATGTTTTCGTTCTACTTTGTAGTTATTTGGCGTATACTGAAAAGAAAACAATAACAATCATGGCAACAGATAGTGGTGTGAAAGTTTGATAGTGACTCTTAGGAAATACTCCAAGAAGATATCTACTAAACCAAAAACATGTAACAGTGTGAATTTTTTGTTTTCATGTTGAAATAGAGTTAATCTTATATTTTACTAATTCGAAAGATTTTTTAATTACTTAAGTGTGAAATATTCGGTTTTTGAAACTAAAGAGTAAACTTTTCATAAGATAATATTTAGAACTTTGAAGATGTTTAGTGATAATACGAAAAGTTTATGGATAAATATTTCATTATTTTATGTAAAGAACATAAAAATCATTCTACAAAAGCAATCTATAAAAAATTTAACTACAACAATAATGTTTCCGAACTTCAAAAGTTCATTCAAAATCTCAATCTAAAATAGTACATAAAAAACATATGAATCAAAACAAAGTACAACAGTATTAATCGCATATGCTTGTCTCAATTCATGTCTTGTTCATTTAATTATAACACCGAGATCACTGTAACATCCACACTTTTTTGTAGACCCTCTTGACATTATAAACTCTTTAAATTAAACACATATGCAAGGATTTTGGGGACCTCTTTCCACTTCTTATGCACTTTGAGTAAATAATTACATATTATATATGAGAGTTATTCCTATAGATAACGATGCATCTGTATTCAATCAATGATTCGATAAATATGAACGTCTGATGACATAAAATGCTGATGATGATTATACATCAATAGAATCACGACGGAAAATAACGAAAGTAATGGATATGATACGAAAAATCTATTTATTAGCAAAGCTAAAAATCGCAACATTAGAGCGTGTCTTTTTAAAGAATTAAATTTTGTTTTGTTTATTGAAAAATCTTTTAATCCTAATCCTTTTGATGAAAATAGATGAACAAGAGAATAGATAAGCACACTTTTGCCTGACGCCGTTTGAGTTCATCTTCCAGCTCTGAGTAGAAGTCAGTGAAACTAAGAAAACTCTAAAAGAGTTCACACCCATGGGTGCGAGTGTAAGTGTGATTTAAGATAAGATGAAACCACACCCACACCCTCACTCTTTTTCTTTGTAATTTAAATTCAAACAAGATTGAGTCCTCTGATTAGTTTCTCAAGCAAAGACAACACCGGTTAGGATTATTCTGAATACAACCACACACTAAACCTAGGGATCACAAAGTCATATAAAAATTGACTTGGAATATTTGGGAATGATCCAGAGAGTTTTATTGAAAGAGAAGCCCTCATATGGCCTTTTTTCCATGCATAAAATATTTCAGATTCATTCACAAATTAATAAAGAATCATTACATGAAATAAGCTTTATGCAATATAAACCAGCATGTGATTCTATATGACTGACATATAGAAGTCCTCTGAAAATGACAAAAAAGTTTTTACTACTGAATCCTGGAGGAAGCTATTGAAATTTTAAGAATAAATTCTTTTTTCTAATGGCATGAAATATGTTCGAATCATATAGAAGTCCAAATCCTATTTTCACTTGGCTACTTGAAATTTCTATTCGATAGATTTAGCAAAGAGTAATGAGACAACTTTGATGAACTTGTTTCAGTACCTCCCTGCATGATTGAGGAGGCACAATGTTTTTTGGTCATTTTCAAAGAAGTTATATATGTCAGTCAATAGACTATTATATACTGATTTGTATGGAATACGAACTTATTTTATATTTCAATAAGACTCTCTGATTACCAAACAACATCCTAAGTGTCAATTCTTACATGAATTTGTACTTCTTAGTTCTCGCAATAATCAAAAATTTATCTCTTGAGCATAACTCTCTCTCTCTTTCTTCAAATATGTTTTTGCACAAAATATCCGTAAATGATTTTTTTCATATATTTGCTAATATTGATGAATTCATCGACAGCTCATCTTTTAGATCTCATTTTTTCACCAAAAGCGCTTCAGTCTGAGATGTATTCACAATTGAAACGTCAAGCCCAAAGAATGTATCATTGACGAAATATGAGTGTTACAAAAAAAGTGTTTTTTTTTTGGAGACAATTCTCTGAGAAAATCGTAAATATCTCGGGAACAGGACAATATTTTTTCAAACGACTTCCGTAGAAATTCATAAAAGACTTGCGTCTAAAAATGTCCAAAAACTAGTTTAATTAGTGATTATCAATTGAATAATCTCTCTGAGTCAAAATGTAAATTATGCTAAATAGATCATGTATATACTAGAAAAGATTTCTGTTCGGGTGAAAGTAAAAAGGCTAATGTTCTGACGGATAACATACAGTCAAAATTTCATGAATTCTGTCACTTCCATGGACTCCATGAATTTCGTAGGGTTTTCAGACATGTATCACGCGAAGTGATTTTATAATATGTCTACTTGGCTTAGTGCTTCGCAGGGAACGTCGAATTTTTTAGAGTTCCTGGGATGCAGAACTCACAAAATCTTCTAGTGTGTTTAGCTTTTTCCTTGTGTTAATCTTATGCAAGATCGAGATTTGAAAAATACAGATCCATTCATTGTTCTTTGGAACAATAGCACTAAGCTACAGAATAGCATTTTGACAATCACACTACATCTATGACAAGTATGTAACCTATCTAGTCAAATTCGAATATATCTCAAGACATAATCGAATAATGATTATGTAGTTTTATTTTTGTTATTGTTTAACAATGTTTCTATTTAACTTCATGCTCATTTTTTTCTCTCAGAAACACTATATCTTCACTCATCATTGTACAAAAAATGCTTCTGTAGAATTTTGTGGCTATATGAACCTTCAATAAATTGTGTAAATGCATTCAATAAAGATTATATCATATGAAGAGATCCTTAAACAAGATCAAAACTGGTCGCGATACCTTATTATTCTTCATTAGTTTATACATTCACATCCTCAATTCACTCCATAAATTATATATCGTGTGTTTTGTAAGCACTCGAGAATGTTACAATAAATGTGCGAAATTAAACAAAAAAAAAGAAAGGAAACTGCAGCGCTAGTAAAGTGAAATTGTGATAAATCAGAAGAAACACAATGCTCATGTGCAAGTGTAAATTCAATAAAAATAAAATTTGTTAAGTCTTTTGTTTAGTGCTTCTCAATAGTGAGAAATTGTGTGAATACCAATTCCATTTTAGCACCTTTCGAGGCAGAGAATGCTAACAGCAATTACTCAAAAATATGTTCCTCTTTTCTTGTTCTACTTATGAAAGAGTTGATGTGTTTATTAGTTCATTTTCTTTGTCTAATGCATTGCAACACCTTGAAATAAATGAAAATGGAAAACAGACATATTAAAGTTCGTGTCATTCAGCAACATGTTCTCGAGAGTAACATTTCTTCTTCTTGTTTGTGATGTATGGCTATCAATGGCAAAGCCTGTCATTGTATACAAAAATGCTCGATTTGATCCATTCAATATACGCAACGTGCTTGCTATCCTCATCTCGATCAATACTGAGAATGCCTGCCTTTGTGAATGCACTAGAAATTCGATGTGTTTGACAGTAACCTATTTTACCATTTATCAAACGTGTTCATTATACTCTGCAAAATTAAACGAAGGTCAACTGCGGATGGTATCGTCTAATGTTAATGCAAAGGTATTCAGCTTCGGAAATATGAGCGTTGTCGGTGAGTAAAAAGCATATTTGCGTGAAGTATTTAATATCAAATGTATCTTGCCTCTTTCTCATCACACTCTATAGTATTAGGAAGATTAGACAAACCTTATAAAGATAACTTCTGTCTTCTATTCACATTTTATCATGCACACATAAAGCCTTCTATCAGTTACTATCTATTGTTAATAATACGTAAGTTAAAAGCATAGCTACAGAGATTCTCTGATCTATGAAAAAAGAATTACGAAAGTCTGCGTTTATTGATATAAAACACATATTTTCCTTGCAGAAGCCCTTTCATATATGTTGATTCATATTACTTCTTTCGTCACATTTATAAAATTCTATTGCAAGTTTCTTAATAACTTCTTCGCCACCAATTCTAAAAATTTTAGAAAGGGTATATAGTGGACAAAACAGCAAAATTTTAAGTATAGTTGAAATACAAATACTTCATTCTATACCTAAACCTTTTGTTAGACAACAATAAAGCACTTGAGTATGTCAACTATAGTTCCATTTTTGTTCTATTGTCTATGACGTATCTTTTCTGAAATTTTTAGAATGGTTGACACAGAAGTTATTTAGGAGCTTGCAATAGAATTGTGTAAATGTGATGAAAAAAAGTAATATGGATGAATGAATACAAAAGGTGTTTTGCAGGGAAAAGGCAAAAATATGATCTTTGATAAATCTTAAAATATGAATCTGAACATTCAAGATAATCATGATGCCCATCAATGTAGAGTTGTCAGTGAAATCAGATCATTTAAAGATAATTCTAGGAGACTCAGGTATATTTTCTTATGAGCTTTCTTGAATTTGTCAGATTTTCAGTTAGAACTATATAATTTGATGTTTCTAACAATACATATACATTGATATACATATCACTCTCATTAAATACATTTCTTTGTAAATTTGTGTGTTTTCCTATTAACGAATCTGAATTCTTCTTGGATGAAACTCAATATTTCTCACAAACATATGTACGCATCATTGATCCATGTAAGCACCATCTATCAGATAATGATAGGGATTGTAAAGGAACACAACTACTGCCGACATCACAATATAATGAATCTCGATCATTTTTGAATATCTTGAGAATAGTAGTTCATTCGAAAAACAATCGATACGGAATCAAATTATTTCTCACATATGACCCTTCAACTGGATATACTAATGAAATAATGAGAACCTCAGAACTTGGTATCTCTGGTTAAATATTTATGACATTCATGAGAAAATATCTTGACAAAGGTTATGTTACTTATATTGATAATTAGTACTCAAATCAAAAAAAAGTTATGTCAAGCTCTGTATAAACACTTAACTAACGTCTCTGGCACTATGAAGCGAAATCGTTCTGATTTTTCACAATTTCAAGGAATATTGCACCAAAAAAGTAGTCTAT